TGGGCACACTTTAGTATAAAGCGGCGCGCTGGCATCTTCTGTCTGTGTGTTATTTATCATCCTGAAATACACCCAGACTGTGGGCATAAAATGCTTACCTCCAACCGAAGATGACCTTGAGAGGAAAGCCAAAACCATCAACCAGCCGGTGCCAAGTTCATTTTATCCCTGATGAAAAGGGATTTCTGAATCTTTCAGCCGGCAGAGGACAGACAGAGGGTTGCAGGAGTTTCACAGGAGTTTTGTCATGAGAGGAAGTGAGACTTAGGGTTCGTTGTCTCGCACTTTCAACACATTCCAATGATGCCGATAAACTGTGGGCAGCAGCCGGCACACTCGTGTCTCGATGCTTTTCACTGCGTCGGGCTTTATGTGAACGTGCTGACGGCCGGCCGGCTGACGAGGGCGACTCTGAGTGAGATCTTTGTGTGGCAGAGACGTGGCTGCTTGTTCCAGGTCGCGACGCTGAGAGATGCATTTGGGGCACAGGAAGTTATCCCTCTCCAAACTCACCAACTGCCTATCATGATTAAAAATAACAGATTGACCAAGAACAAGCACTGTGTTTGGGCACACAGTTGCCGAATTTTAGCACAGTGAAGATAAAAAGGCTGAACTCTGATGTCAGCCAGCAGCTTACTTAGTGTAGATGTTGTCGATGCTCTTGTTGGTATTGCCTCGCTGTAACGTGTCCAGCTTATTGAGTGGCCAAAAGTTAATTGGTTCGTTTGTGGAGAGCATTAAAGTTCTTGATAAACTCTATTCCTCTTTTTTAAAATCTCGTTTGACCCTGATCGTGGCACAAAAAAGATTAGAATTCAACCTTTGGGGAGAATTAATGTCTAAACAAATCAGTCATGCTGCTCTGGACCAAGTTTTAGATATGCCATATACATACATCACTCTACCATCAGGCCTCTTAGATTTTTCGAACTGCTTTTTAACTGTTCCTGAACTAAGGCTAGTAGGTAAAGGAGATCACACCTTTTCAAACAGCAGCCTCAAAGCTTTGGAACAACCTTTCTCTCCACTGACATTTTTAGGAAAATCTCAAGACACACATGTTTTCAGTGGCCTTTAGTTGCTCTAACTGGTGTCATATTTTATTTTATTTATTCATGTACAGCACTTTAGTCAACTCAGGTTGTTTTAAACAATGATTAGTGGTTTAATCTGATTTGATTTAGCATTTATTGTCGCATATTAAAATGAAGACAATGTGCAAGAAACAATTAAGTTTCTTTAACTTTGTGAAGGAGGAACAGGACATCAAACAGGAAAAAAACTGCGAAGCAAAAATAAATGAATGTGAGTGTTTTTTTTAAATGTCATTTCATTCATTCATTTATTCAATCATTCATTCAGTACCTCCATTTCGAGTTCTAGTCGTTGTCCACAAGATGGCAATACATACAAGTGAGCTGCAGCCGTAAAGGAGGAGGAACGCTGTTCACAACTACGTTAAAGACGCAATTAAAGACGCTGTTTTTCTGATAAGCTTTACCTCTTTGTTTGTCTTTAGCTTTAGTTGATTTAGACAAAGGCATTTACTGTACTGACGTCAGCTCCAAGTCAAAGCCACAAATAAAAGTTTTTCCTTGTTGGTGAAACAGGAGATATTTTTAACCACATTAAACAATTCATATGTCACAGTTATTTCATTCACATCCAACTTTTCTTTAGAAATGACCAGAACAAGGGCTTTAAAATGAAGCAACACAGTGTAAGTGCTTTTATATATATTCAGCATTTCCATGAATATTTTTACATATTCTGAGTATTTCTAACGTGCAGCAGATGCGGTTTGTGTTAAACACATGGACGTCTCACAGTCACACTCCAGTGATTCATGTATATGACCTGGAAAGCTAATTTTGATTTACTCTGGTCTCAAGCTCTACATGCATAATTTATGTAGTGAAATAATTAGTTCAGAGCTGAACCGGCTTTACCTATTCATACCATCCATAACAGCAGCGACTTCAACTCACCGGCCTCTTATTAGGGAAGCCTAATGTGCTGTAATTCCCATCCTATCAGTGTATACGCCGTAAAAAAATAAAATAAAATGAAGCACCAGAAACAATCTTCATGACAGGTTTGACTACAGCCTCACATGGCCGGATCTCTCTCCACAGTCAGAGTCAGAAAACAACACTATGCTGCAAATTAATCTCATAACTCTTTGCCTAATTTAATTCTGGTCCTATTTGCCACCGTCTCGACTCAGACGTGACCTCGAACCAGTCAGTGTTTCTGTAATATGAAGCTCAGACGCCACAGAAGACAGTTTCACAGTTTCTCAGAGGCAGCAAGACGTCTAACAATGGATGAAAATGTTGATATTTGTTTCACTGAGAGTTTAAAATAAGAAAAATGTGAAAAGTTTGGCACATTAAACCACATTATAGGTCAGCTTTAAGGTGTTGTTGTAGCACCGTGCAGGTTTTCTGTCGGTCCACACGGTGAAGCTGCTTATTTCTGTTAAAAATAACATACAGGAGGCAAAAGTTTAGATGTTTTTCATTGAAACAAATAAGTTTACTCTTCAATAATGATGATAAATGAAAAAGGGCAAAGGCTTATACGTACAAATTAAATGTGAGCAGTACATGTGACAGCTAAATGTTCAGCTATAGCACTGCTGGGCACCATGACTTTAATAATTTTAATAGCTTTTTATTTCCATCAGCACTTTAGTTCTGGCAGGAGCTGTTTACTCCACAGCTCACAGAATTTCAAATGCAAATAGACACGTTGATTTGTTGCCTCATTCCAAATGCGCTGCTGCCTGGTTAGTCACTTGTGAGTGAGCACTCCCGCTAATGATGGCTGCTTTTTATTTCCTCTGCCCCCCCAAAAAATGACTGATGATGTGTAGATGGTAGTAATGAGCTCCTTTCTTTAAATAACATTGCAGAAAGAGGGGCGGCCCAGTGGAGCAGAGGTTGGTCCGAAGGTTCTGGATTCAGATCTCTGGGTCGGACGGAGCCTTTCAGTGTGGAGTCTGCATGTTCTAGACCCCTACAGAGTATAGATAATGGATCTGTAATTCTAGAAAGCCACCCACAAGATCCATTCATTGCACTGCTTCACTCCAGACTAATAACTAAATTTCTTAGAAGAGCTAGGTGTTGATTCAGAGGTCTGGACTTTAAAGGCTAGAAGCTATAGCAATATAACGTCCATCCTCTATGTTCTGATAGGGATGCTGTGCTGGTTGCAGGTGGAGCAACAATATCATGTAATTAATTTGCCCTCCATGGCCGGATTCATTTCATAAAGGGCTTTGAGGCCAGAAAGAGCCGTCTGAGCATCTCTTAAATGTTTCATCCCCGTCTCTCTCCAGCAGAATTAAATATTCACACAATAAAAGCATTTTATTAGCTAAAATGATGAAGGTCTCACATTTTCATAGCTGGTCTCTGCTCCAGAAATGGCCTCAAGATAAGGATAAAGATCGCTGCTGCATAATTATGCTATAGTCTCACTTTAATCGGTGACCTGAGATTTTTGCCCCCTACTTGTCATTATAAACTGATTTTTTTCTTTATTCAGTCCTTTCCCCGATACTCAGTAAAGAGCAAAGAGTAGTTCACTAAAGTCACTGTGAGTCAGAGTTACGTATTCAGAAGTTTTCTTCCATTAGAATGACTCCCTCAAGCCTTAAAATGGATTAAATTGCTTCCTTAAGAATGTACAAATCTATTAAAACCCCACTTCTATCTTCACCCATTCTTCCCCACTTGCTGCAACTTGAGCACACCAGCTCACCCATGGCTCCGTAAAACTACTCTACACAGTGACAAGCTGTGATATTGGAGTGATTTAGCCATAAGGCAGGTTCACCTGGACAGGTAACCAGTCTATCACAGGGCTACACTTAGAGACAGACAACCAAGCACACTCACATTCACACCTACGGACAATTTACAATCACCAATTAACCTCAACATGTTTCTGGACCAGGGATGCTGTATTTTTGTCCATTTTAAACCTGTTAGGATGTATTTCAGCAGAAAACTTCTGAGACTTGTTTAAAGGCAACTTGTCGGAAAGAGTTTTTCTTTTGAAATTGAACATTTTAACATTTCATTTTTGATTTGGCTGAAACTTAGATGCAGATTTCCTTTTATTTTTTGGAAAACAATACTTATTCGGCATTTATTTTTAATATTTAATGCGATAAAATAAAACTTAGACTGGATTTTTAGACAACGGTTGAATTGATGTCGATTCATTGTCGGTTGTGATCAATCCTAACGGGTACCTACAGTCTGGTTTCAGTGTCAGGCATATTTATAGGTGTCATTTCAGTGTTTTTTAATCAGATTTTTGCTGTTGTGAGCTGAATTTACCATTTCAATTTTGAATCGGCTCAAATTTAGATGCTGAAAATGGAAATAATTTTACAATTCAAAATAGTTTCCATCCTAAATGAGCTAAACTGCAGCTGAAACTGACTTTTCAAACAGTATTCAGTGTTAAATGAATCTGACTTTGCTCTCTTGGTGTTTATTAAAGCTGTGGTGTAGCTCCTAGAGTAGTGTTCACATTACAAACACCCTGAACCCTTCACTTGTGAGATAAACATCAATGTTACAGTAATTTAAATGCAAACGTTTTTACATAGAATAAAAATTAAATCCTGGTGATATGATGAAGATGTGCAGCTGACCACAGTGGAGGAAGATTCATGGATTTCAGGCATCTATAGGAATGAAAATTTAAAAAGCAGGAAGATTAAAAAGTAAATCTACTACAGCCTGTTGCAGATGGATTAAAAATAATGATAATAAAAAAGGTTTAGGTTTAGGTTAAGCCCCACTCTCATCTGTGGGTGCGCGTGTTGAGGTGACGTCACTGTGTTTCGTGAACGGTTTTATTTTGAAGCTCGCGCGCTCTAATTGGCTCCCGCTGAGTAAATTGAAGCGTCGCTGCTGCTGCTGCTGCTGCTGCTGAACACCTGATTCATTCAGCGATCCGCACTGACCTGAAACATGTCCGAGAAAACGGAGGTGAATCTGTCTGGAGTGAAACAGAGCAAAGGCGTTTGGCTCGTCAAGGTTCGTTCACCCGAAAATCAGCCAAAGTCACGTCAGACGAGTCGGTCGCAGACTAACTCCTGGAACAAGACGACTTTTAACGCTCTTAGTAGTTGATTTACACAAATAGACCGAAAAAAACAGCTCTGTTTGATCAGTGGTTGTTCTTATAAATTAAATTAAACCCAGGTAACCCTTGTCCTCTTCACCTGTGGTTCGTCTCTCACCAGGTTCCCAAGTATTTATCTCAGCAGTGGGACAAAGCCTCAGAAAAAGGAGAAGTTGGAAAGATTATCATTGGAAAGTATGTTCAACCCTCATCCTGGGTTTGTTTTTGATCAATTATAGTGATCAATATGACACCTGCAAGGATTTATCCATTGTGCGTTAGTTAGTCACCAAATGAGTCACCTAATAGTTAAAAAAATAATAAATGATAATAATCTTCATTTGTGGAGCACTTTTCAAAATCTAAGCTACAAAGTCCAAATCATAGAGACATAAAAACACAATTTGTTGCATAAAAAAACAGCGTAACGTTAGAAAAAGGTACGACTATTATGAAAAGAAATAAAAGATATCTCAAAGGAAATTAAAGCTCAGATAAATCCACGACAGACTTTGCAGTGTGATAAAGATCACTGACTCAGCCCGTCTGATTTCCTCAGGCGCAGCATTTCTGAGCCGCTCTGAGTTTCCAGCCAGCAGACCCCTGATCGAGGTCCTCAAAGTGCTCGCTGGTGCTGAAATGTCAGCAACATGAAAGGCTTTAGAAGTAAAACTAAGTCTAAAACTTAGCGGCGGCCTGTGTCGTGTTCTTAAAACAGGAGTGATGTACTCGTGTCTCTTGGTTCTACTTAGTTGGTTTTATTTTATTTGTTAAAGAGCAAAAATGCCAAATATTTGAGCTTCTAGCTACTGTTAAGTTTCCTACTGTTGTCATTTTTCCTGTGTTTTGAGGACGGTCGGATTATTTAGTTGTGATCATTAGTTTTGTCAGTATCAGTGATGCACACTTTGTCTGTCTTCTGATTCTCCTGCAGGAAACAAGGCAAGACAGAGGTGAGACGGCTCCATGTAACGCTGCACAGTCGGGCCGAACAATTCAGAAAAATAGTTTTGAAATCAAATCCCACCCAAACACTGGAGGGTAAAGGTTTTGACATAATGAGGGACAAAGTGCTCTTATAAATGAGGCATTGTGATACAACAGAGATGCTTTGGCCAACAAACTATATTCTCCAGAACATGCATGTTTGGTAACCTGAATATTTTTGTGTGTATATATATGATTATTAGGTTTTTATGATTTTGTTTTCATGCATATTGTTCAGTCATACTGTCCTATTTCTGTCTGTGGGTTAAATGACATGAATGTTAAATTGTAATCAGATGAGCCTCTTGTTTTGTTTTTAGCTCTAAACATTACCGTCTTAAACTCAGCAGCTCTTTACTACCTGTTGCTAAGAATACACATTTATACTTTACGTATTTAGTAGCACACTTATTGGCCTTAGCTTTCATGTTGTTTTTCTTCTCAATTGCATCCCGTCGTTATTTTCTGCTGCATTGATCGATAATCCTCACAGGACTCGATAAAGGTCCGTACTATCGTATTTGACCTTTTTTTGAGTAAGCTCTGTTTCTCAGGTGCGTTTCAGCCTGGACGAGGAGCTGACTGCTCTGGCCGCTGCAGGGGAGTCGGATGCATCGCTGCAGGTCCCGAGGGATCATCCCTTCACCATGCACACGGTGGGCGGACAGACCATGGCTGTCTTCAGCCAGAGCGACACAGGTCAGTCTCCAGATGAGCTGCTCCGGCCCTCGTCTCTTCTTTTGTCTCTTCTGTGCTGAAAAATGTCATCCTGATCGGCGGCCAGAGGGTTCAACCTGAAATAGGTTTGACAGCGTGTGTGATTCCTGCGATGGTGCACGAGGCAATTTGGTTTTTGTGGCTCAACAAAAGTCCAGGTCCTTGACAGATATGAATTCTGATGTTCTGTTTTGTTTGCCTGTAATACAAAAAACAAAAAAACAGAAACATAGTGCAGATTCAGAATGGGGATGCTGCCTTATCCCACGATAAAAGGAAGACGTGTCATTTAGATTAGACACATGGTTCATGGGCTGGGTGAAACTCTTGCACGTTTGTTCCACCTTTTGTTGTTTTCCAGATTGACTTGTTGCTGTTGCTGAAGCCACTTTTCTGCTGCCTGTAAATATATTGAGCTGTTCAAGACTAATCACGGAGCTGCTCTGCTGATGGCCAACAAACACTCACGGAGGAATTTTACTAAGATCTCACGTAACTGATTTGAGCAGGCCGACTTCTTCACGTCTCCAACGTTTACTTGCTCTGACAGAAAGCTCCTTTTGATATATTATACAGTGATTGCACTGTAAAATTCATGAGAATGCTCAGAGTGGCTTCTGATTTGAGGAGGACGCTCGCTGCCAGGCGCGATGTGTCATCCTGCTTTCTGAGCCAGAGGGATTTGCAGGGATTTGCATCAGACCAAGAGCTTAAAAATAGTTGCAACTGTATGGTCGGGTGTCTGCGAGCGTGTGACCTGAGAATTACAACAGATTTGGGTGTTCCTTTAACAGGATAGCGCCGTTTCATACAGTAGACTTAGAAAATTAAATAATTAGCAACTGGATTTAATCATTATTTCAAGACAATAGCAAAGGGAATTACTGAAGATTAAACAAATGGAAGAAAGTAGAATAAAAAGTGACTGATGTGGAATAAAAATTAAAGCTGAAACGCCGCCCTGATTCAGTGAAAACTTTAATTTTGTGAGAAGGTAAATAAATAGCAGGGAATGTGTTGCTCAAATCAGCAAAATGTCAAGAGCAGTTCTGTCCCTGCAGGAGGTCCAGCGCTCAATAAAAATAAAATCACTGCTTCTTGTAGTTGTTTTCAGACGCTGCTAAGGGTGCACATAATTGGGTGGTGTTGGCTTTAAAAACAAGAGAGCATATTTTGAGCTCTCCCCAGATGTGACCAAATTAGTTGAAGGCACATGTTGACTGGAGACCAAAACTGTATCCGCAGTGGAAAGACTGAATCCAAGTGGAGCAGTGTGTGGTGTGGAGAGGGAAAAGGCTGGAGTTGTGATTACAGTTAGACGGGAAAACTAAAGCATCATGTTCTTCAGAATATTTAAACTTTTACGGAAGTGAAAATATTCTGAAGCAGGCTGCCGTAACGTTAAACACATTATTGTAAAGTAAAACTTGAGCAGTTGTCATTTTCTCTTCCCTTCCCGTTGTTGACAGGTAGGGGGCGCTGGAGCCAAACCAGACTGCCTATACATGCCTATAGATTTTCCTGAGAGTAGTGAGGTTTAAATTTAGTCCCATGTGTAGTAGTTTTAATTTGCATCTGTGACGTCGGCGGTTCAGACCTCCGGTGCATTCTGAGTCCATTTCACACAACAGCCAGAGTGTGAATCGTTTTAGCTCCGCTGGGCCCAATTCGGATCACGTCCAGGGTGCTGAGAGGCATCACAGAGTGAGCTCATGGTGTAGGATTTGTTTTATTTAAACACAAATTAGTTGTGAAAAATAATGAAATACACCACATGAGCACAAAATGATGATGTAATTAAAATATACTGGAAGTTACCCGTCAGGTCAAAGGACAGATGTTGCATTAAGTATTTGCCAAGATTGTAATAAATCAGCTACCAAAACCTGGAGAGCTGCCGTAGTTTGGTAAGTTGCAGATCCAACCTTCCTGCTCCTACAGCAGGAATGGACAGAAAAGTGGACTCTAAGTGTGTGTCCAGCTCTGAGCTGTACACCTAAACAAACAAACAAACAAACAAACAAACAAGGGGAGTCAATACCAATCGATCAGCATGTTCGTTTAAATGAAGAAAAACAATCAGTAGAAACAGGAAAACAGCTGAATAATTTTCTCATTACGCAGCTGAACACAGTGTCCGACGAGGCATCGACCACCTAACAGCACGTCTATAGATTGTTTCTGGTAACAGCAGAGCAGCAGTGGGAACGCTGCAATGCAAGAGAAACTATATTAGACCAGCTGTCTGATGGTGTGCAGGTCCTCCACAAGACCTGTCCTGTTGAGTCAGGCTCCAGGATGTAGCAGCACATCCTTTAAGTCCTCCAAGCTCTTCAGCGGGACCTTTGGGAACGTGTTTCTCCAGCACATCCCACAGATGGTTGATTTGCCCGAGACAAGGCCGAGTCCACACTGAGGCCACTGCCATCAGGAAGTGCTTTAGCTATGACGGGATGTACGTGGACCACATGAGGGTTCAGGTAGGTGGTAACGCGTTGAGCTAACCCAAGGTCTCCTCATATAACCGTGTCCAGAGAGTCACGCTGCCTCCGCTAGCTTCTTTCCTCAGCACATCCTGCTGCTGCCATCTTGTCCCCAGGAAAGTGATGCATACGCACCTGGCCGTCCACACGGTGTAAAAACAAAACCATGATTCACCAGACCATGCCATCTTCTTCCATTGCTCGTGGTGCAGTTCTGATACTCGTGTGCCCATTGTAGGCGTTTCAGGCGGTGGGCAGCTGGTCAGCATGGGCCTCTGTCTGATCTGCGGCTACGCAACGAGCTGCAATGAGCTGTGTGTGCCGAAACTTTTCTATCGTTACCAATATTAAGCTTTTTCATTAATGTGTGCTGCTGTAGCTCTTCTGTGGAGCGTTTAGCACACATGGCTCCTTTTGACTGGTCGTCCTTTGAACTGTTTTTGTTCTGCATACTGGGAACACCTGATGTTGTGGAGATGCTCTCACTCAGGTGTCACGATTCAGCTCCTGTCAGGGTCACTCAGATCCTTTCACTTGCCCGTTTTTACTATGTTCAGTAAGTCAAAAGTCAGTCTGTTTGCCTGCTGCCTCATCTATCCCAGTTATTTCCATCACCTGTTGTGGTTTTATAGTTGTGGCTGTATGTGTGTGTGTGTGTGTGTGTGCAATTATGCTGTTAGCGAAATCTAATGATAATTATATAGCTCTAGTGTACAATAAATAACAGAAATATAAAAACCATTATGTCGAGTGCACCTTAATTTTTTTCTTTATCCGTCAGTCCATCAGTTCCCACTTCCTCATCCAGCATTGTGTGTACAAAAAAAACAAATATATCCTGCAGCATTTTAAACTCGAGCGTATTATGCAATCCTTTTAAATGGCTGAATGGAACCTTTTATGACTGTGTGGGAAAGAAAATAGATATCAGTGCGCTATATTTACTAATGGCACTTCAAATGGGCAAAAATAGAGGCATTTTGTTTAAATTTTGTAGGGCGTTGAAACCGATATGGATTATATTTATATGCTGTAAACACAGTGTGAAATCAGTCGTGTGATCTGTTTTCTTGTGCAAAACTGTTCACAGCCTTAACTTGTGGTGGATTTGTCCTCAGCACCCTGCACCTGTTGATGCATCCAGAAATAGTTATCCAATATCCAAACTGTTCTTGATTTGGTTTAATTTTGGAAAATAAAAGCGTCCTTACATTCCCTCCTTGTAAAACGTCATCGCCTGGAGGTCAGAAAGCAGAACACAGAACATCTTAAGAGGAAACCTTTATGGTATGATCTAAACTAGAGCTGCAAGATGATCATTTTTATCATTTAGCAAACCAAACTCTTTCCTCTGTAGTGGGAAAACACACATAAAACCTTTCCTAAACAAGGTGTAGAAAAAAAAAGGTGAGGGCTCGAATGACAGGTGCTGAAAAACAAATAAAACAACAACAATGCAAAAAAGGGAAGTCCAAATATAAGATATAAAATCTGAGAAGAAAATGACTTAAAACAAGTGAAATTATCTGTTCATGCAGCAAGTAAATTTTACTTGATAAGAAATCTTGAAATAAGATTTTTAATGCTCAATTTAAGATTGTACTGTAAAATCAAGGACTAATAGCTTTTAAAACAAGTCAAATTATCTGTTGATAGATTTTAAATCTTGTCCCAGATTATTTGCAGTGAAGACAAACAAAAATGGAATGAAGGGGGAGAGACGTGAGTAGCTTTAATTTACTAAAAGTTCATCAGGAGGGCGTGCTCGGTGGGGACAACTCGTCACAGGTGGAAAAAGACCAAGAGATGTGGTCTGTAGATGCTCAGCAAGATGAGCTAACGCCAGGAAATCTGCTTAAGTAAAGTGGTGGTTCAGAAGCTGCTGGAGAATTCTCATATTCTTCAGTTTTCTTAGCATCTCAGTCGTCCAATCAGAGCAGCACACCAACAAAGTGAGTTTTCGTCTTTAACGTTGACTCTGTAACTTAATAATAAAAATTTTTTAATAAACTTCCTTCATCAATTCTTAAAAAAACCTCATTATTGCGATGTTGCGTCAGCGCTATCGGCCATGTCTGCGTCCCAGTCAGACAGCTGCCTGAACTGTAATAAAAGTTGAAACAAAGCTTCCTCCTCATCAGGGTTTATTCTGTCACCGCCCTCGTGCACTTTACATGCACCCACACTTGCATGCGTGTTAATACCTCCTACATGTGATAATGGATTTTTCTGTTTCTCTTTTCCAAGGCTTTTATTTTATTTTATTTCCCCCTCCATCATAACAGCAACACCTCAGTGTGCTGTCCACTGCTCATTCCTCAGGTTTATAAATCCTTAAAAATAAAAAATAAACAACAAAAAAAAAACCCACTCAGACTTAAGTAAAACTACAGAGCCGGTGGGTGGTGGTGCAGGTGTCAGCGGGGATCATCAGGATTATAATCTTGTGTTTGTGAATGTGGAAACACAGCATTCAGGAGGCGTAGAAACCTCTTTCTT